CAAACTAATGCATTGAACTCAACAACTTAAGAGCCAGTTCCTCTTGCTCAGCCAAAGTAACTTCATCTACACGTGTGGCTGCAGCTGCTCCTCTCCTTCTACCATCTTCATCGTCATGATCACTTTCACTGCCTAAATAAATCTTCGATTTCTTATTAAGTCCACTGTTAGTAGTTTTTGGCCTTCTTTCCAAATCGGATACATCATCATCATCATTGTCTTCACCATCGTCATCTTCTTCTTCGTCTCTGCCCCTTTTCAGCTTCATCTTCTGCTTGATGCGTTTTTCTTTCCGGCGTTTTTGTTCTAAGGCTTTGTCTTCCTTGTCCACCACTTTCATCTCCTCTCTCAAGGCCGCATATCTTTGGCTCACTGCATAACGAGTAACCATTATTGTAACACTAGTGGAATTTCAAATATCAAGAAAGCAAAGAAGACTGTCAGGCCAAAAATCATAAAATAGTAATTTCTTTAAAATACTTTCAAACTTCTAGGGTGTGTTTGTATATGAAAAAATCCAATTCATATTCAATGCATACTCAAAATCTAACTCGACTTTAACTCAACTTCACTATCATCAATATTATCAATATAATTAAATAATACAAACCAATTATTTTTACACATCATATCAACTTTAATTTACTATTCATCCTCCCACATAACTTTAACTAACTATCACTTCACACCATCTCTCCTACTTTTACATCAAATCAACTTTAATTATTTTATTTTAAATATTATTTTAATATAAACTCAAAAATCTCACTAACAGCTAACCATATAATTTTTTTTTCAAAATTAACTCTGCTTAACCAAAAAAAACTCATTTTGAACTGATTTTTTTGTATACAAACACGCTCTAGCTTCTGGTGCATTACGGATCAAGTGAACCACTCGCACTTTCTAATAATAAAATTGAAGGAGCAAATGCAAAATATTAGGAGCATTAAAATTACCTTTGTCCTTGTCCAGCTTAATTGAGTCAGACTCAGTCAAGGTGTCGGCAAGCTTGGCAAGAGGTGGCAAGGTGTTGCCTTCATCATCAAACACAACCCTTGTACCAACAGGTCTATGCATGTTGATCTTCAACTTCTTTTTCTTCAAAACCCTAGTAGCAGGCCTACAATATTCAACATAAGCACATTTAAATTTCGATCAGATTTATCAAGAAAAGATTATCAAAACAACAAATCGCATATCTAGATTCAAGATAAAAATCTCAAACTGTTACTCGATACACTCTACCATGGTAATGTAATTCAAGACGAACTAGCATGCCAAACAAATATCTTTTCCTACACTAATCACATATTTGCACCCTTTCTTTTTTCTTTTTTTTTTTTCGTTTGATCATCGTGAAAATAAATAAATAAAAATAAAATTAAATTAAAGGATAACCTACAATATATCACTGATATCAATAGCATTTTCTTTCTCCACAAATTCAGAATCCTTCTCCAGAAGGATTCCTTCCTGAGGATCTAGTTCTGATTTTTCCACCTCAACTGGGCCCAAACTTCCTTTCAAAAGCTCAGATGAATTCGTGTGAGGATCGCTCTCTGGCACCAGGGTCAACTCTTCAGTTGATTTTTTGCCCTTCACATTCCGGTTGAGAAAACGGACTTTGGGCGTGATGGGAAGACCTAAAGATGCAGCAAATGCATCAATCGGCAGCTTGGTGACCTCAAAAATCTCCTTATCACGCTGTTTGTGGATGGACCTCAAGTAAGTAATGAAGGCCCTCTGGGCCAAATACTTCAAATCCGGATACTTGACTAACAAAGCCCGCAACAAATCGGTAACAGGTTGCAACCTTTTGGCATTTGCCTGAATAGAATCAATACAAGAGCACAGGACAAAAAAACCTTGGATCATGTATATCCAGAACAGCTCGAATTTACAGCTGCTTTCTTCTCTAAAGGTAACTAGTAATCAAATGTGGAAAAAGTTGACATACCCTAATAATTCGGATAGGTATTTTCTTTTCTTGTAATTTGTCGAGCATCTTCGACTCAGACGGAGTAAGGAACAAGATTGATCTCCCACCAGAAAGGTACCGTGCAGTTCGCCCCACTCTATGTATGTAAGA